ACCTCAAAGTTTGACGCAAAAACGCATGATCGCACCGGCTCGCCTGGTGCGTTCCAGCCTGGGTTTTCAATAGCATACAAGGCTATAAAGTTCATTTTAATTCGCGTCTGGCCTTTGGTTCAAATTCAAGCTCGTGTCGAAAATTTACACCGAAATACACTGAATCTTCAACATTTTGGAACTTTAGCTCACTAGTTTGGAATTTTAATGACCCGAAGAAAACAGCATGAGTCAAAAAACAAGGAGTATGAATTTTTTGCCAGCATTAGCATAGAAATGCGAATTTTACCTGCCCAATCACAGATAAAAGCTCGAATTGCGATAGATCCGCTTTTTTGCCCTCTTTCACAACCTCAATAATTTCAGTCTCAGACGTTGCTGTTGTTGTTGTTGATAATGGTGGTGATATTTTTGATGCAAACGCTCTAACTGTCACCGGAGACGATGATACATCTGAATCGTTATCCGGTGAATATCTCTGGAAAATGCACCGGTACCGATCAAAATTATCCATTTAAATGAAACTATACTGCATTTTGTTCATTCAAACTGGATATAAATTATTGCTAAATAAACACAAAGGTTTGAAGTTGATAATCCAGCGTAAGCATAGTGGCCTTAATCTGGGAAAAGCACATCCGTCGCAAGCAACTTATAGTAAATCTCATAAATCTCATAAAATTAAGTTTCAAAAAAAACTAGTAATGCTAAAGTTAAAAGTCAAAATCCTTTTACCACAGACAGTTTGTGGGAACTGAGGCCTTTGGAAATTTTTCCGAGGCTAGCAAGTACCAAAAGAAACCACTTGCTGGCAAATGCTGTTGAAGAGCTACTTACAAGTAGGTAATTTAAACATCAAAATTCTACCTCTGCGCGATGAGGCACATTTTTAGCCATTCAAAGGCCTTTTACTGAACACGGTAAGTCATAGTAGTAGATTAGCAGATTAGATGATAGAGAAGGACTGGAGGATTGGGGGCTCGGTTCGAGTGCCAACAAAGCGTGGAAAGATTTGAACATAAGCCAAACAATGAACAACTAGAGC